TATATATATATATATACACACACACACACACACACACATACACATACATATATACATATCTACACACAAACACACACAAAAGCAGCAGCTATTGCAAAGTATTAACAATTGTTAAAAGTGCATGGCAGACATATGGCTGGTTATTATATAATATCCACAGTTTTCTATATATTTAGACACTACATAATAATAAGTAAAACAAGGCCAGCTTGAATCATGGTGGTTAAGGCAGCTGGATCCCACATCACTGACTGTGCATTTTGAGTCCCAGACCTGGCAACTTGAAAAACATGCCTGGCACATATACACATATATCCAGGATCCCAAGAGGAGAATAGAGGAGAAGGAGTTGTGGTGTGGTGTGGGCATCCCTTTCTCACTTTCCCTCTCTCTTTGTCTCTGTGTCTTTCAGGAGTATGCACAGGCCCTTTGGCAAAAATCTAAAAAAAGTTTAAATAAATAGAATTTTAAAAATAAGTAAGACAACCAAAAAAGGACTATATAACTGAATTATCCATAAACCTTCCCAAAGATAGCTGGATAAATGGCATTGTTCTAGACAAAGCATCAGAAAGGCCATGTGCAATAAATTAATATGTCATTGAAAATAGTTTTGATTATTAAAAATTTTTATTCTGTTAAGTGAAGGAGAGAATACTGAGAAATTATTTTCCAAGACTCTATACATTCATGATAAGAAATTTTCTGTTTTGCCATGAAATAACCATTCTATTTCTTTTTATCAAAGTCATTGTAAGCTCTGAAATTATTAACTAATATGATGAAAGGTCCTCTGTATTAGACTCAGTAGAAAAAAAGGCTTAGTAATTTTTCATTTGGCAGTTCTACTATTGAAAATTAACACCAAAAAACAATAAGAAATATATCACAGATGGATACACAAAGTTTTTCATAGCATTTTTTAATTTCTTTTTCCAATTTCCAGAGGGCTTGTGTACTTCCCAAAGAGACAGAGAGGCAGAAAGCATCCCCTAATAGGGCGTGTTCACACTGCACTCCCTCCTCCTCCTTTTCTCTAACCTATCGGGATTTGGGGCCTGCATACACAGGTGTCCAGTGTCTTTCTCAAGCTGCCAACGCTGGGATTCAAACCACAGTTGGCCATGATGGGATCTGTCTCCTTTAACCACTAAGTTACATGGTCAGCACACAGCAATTTTCTTTTTTTTTCTCTTTTTTTTTGGAGAGGTTTTTGTTATATAGCGTGTGCGCTCACCAGACAGACAGAGAAAGAAAGAAAGCGAGAAATCACCCCCCGGGGGGATGGCCACGCTACAATCCCTTCTCCTCCGTTCTTCTGTCGGGATCTTGGGCACGCATGCACACACACCTGACGTGAGTTTTAAGCCACCAGGTCCGGGATGCGAACCGTGATCTACTACATGGGAGTCCAGCGACATAGCCATTACACTAACTGCTGGTCCCCACACAGCAATTTTCTAAAAGGGAAAAATGGAAACAGTTAAGAGCTGGAGTAATGAATTAGACTATTCATATAGCAGACTTCTATACAGTTTTTACACATTGTGGGACCAGCAGTTGGGGTAATGGCTATGTCGCTGGACTCCCATGTGGTTGAACATGGTCTGAGTCCCAGACCTGATGGCTTAAACTCATGCCAGGCACATGTATGTGCTTTGAAGCCAAATTTTCCATGAACTTCTCCAAAGTAAGCTGGAGAAATAGCGTTGTTCTGCACAAAGCCCCAATGATGCGTGTACGACAAATAAGTCATTGCAGATACTTCCATATATTCAAAAACAATCTTTTATATTACCAGCTCTTTAATTTCTTACTTAGGGAATTGTGAGGAGGACAATGACAACCTTCCAGAAGTGGAGATGGAATTTTTCTAGGTCTCCATCAAATGCTTCAAATTCCATTTGCATTGAAACCCTGCTCCTGTAAGTACCAGACAGGGCCATGCCAGCCCTCAGACGTCGTCCCCTCTTACCATTGCAGGATATGCCACAGGCGTTCACTGCTCCCGGGGTTTTGCCATCGTTACACCAGTACCGGCTGTTGATCTGGAATATCCCATAATCAGTGCTTTGGTCTCCAGGATTGTAGTTTGTAGCTCGTGTGTCATAATCACTCTCCCATTTGGCCAAACACATCCCTGAAAAGAACTGATTGTTAGTAATAAACAGAAACACCAAATGACTTACACCGTATACTAAAATCCGTTCTAACTAGCTATCTCTATTTTTCTAAGGACTTACATGATAAGTATAAAGATGGATTTAACTTCAAAATATTTTAACTGTTTGTTGTTAAAGGACTCCAAGAGAATTCTTTGGCAGTAAATCATTTTGTAACGCTAATGAAGCAAGATAATGTACTTTTAAGAATAGGAAAAAAGCTGTCAATTATATAAAATTATGTAATTGTTAAAATTCTGAGTCTCAGGAGTGCTAATATGAACAGTGACAGAAAGGAAATAGGTTTCTGTCCCTGTATGGAGAGTTTCAACATACTTCTTAAAAATCTCGTATCATGGCAGGAGAATTAATAAAGATAAAAATATTGCTTTACTTCAGGTTCTCAGAACCCTAGTTCCAAAAGAGCAATGGCTAGGATCAAATACCAAGACCCTGACAGAGCTGTGCCAAGTCCCCCAAAGTATCCTCTTGTCGGTCCGTCTGCTCCATTGAGTCTGAGACCCCGGGCAAACTGAGTGGCAGTACAAGCGTGTAACAGGTCCTGTCTTAGCTAGAATGGTATAGGGTATTTCTCTCCCCTGCCCTCATTCCTTAATCCGAGATCTTTGGATTAAAGCAGAGGTCCTCAACCCCTGGCCATGGACCATTACCAGTCATGACCTGCTAGGAACTGGGCCCCACGGCCGGAGGTAAGCAGCTGGTGAGCCGGTGCAGCTTCATCTCCATTTACAACCATTCCCCATCACTGGCATTATGGCCTGAGCTCTGCCTCCCGTCACATCCGCAGCGGCATTAGATTCTCAAAGGAGCGCAAACCCTGTGGTGAACTGTGCATGCGAGCGATCTAGGTTGCATGCTTTCTTGTGCAAATCTAATGCTGGGTGATCTGAGGTGGAGCTGTGGCCCTGATGCTAGCACTGGGGAGCAGCTGCAAGCACTGCATTGTGGTGAACTGTAGAACTATTTCATTATACATCACAATGTAATAATAATAGAAATAAAGCGCACAATCAGTGCAATGTACTTGAATCATCCCCAAACCATCCTCTCATCCTGTCTCTGGAGAAATTTTCTTTCACAAAACTGGTCCCTGGTGCCAAAAAAGGCTGGGAACCACTAGTTTATAGGACAAAACTGACGCATTTCATACTTTTAGTAGACATACCTGCAAGGCAATAAAAATGTCAATTCCCTCAGTCCCCCTCTCCTGACTTACTCTCTCCTAGTAGCCGAGCCCTACCTGGCTGACCACCTGGAGGCCTGAAGGAAAGCACACTTACAATTGGCCAGGCTGATTCCCCTGTAGCCATCCAATCCATTTCTTTTCAATATTTGGGCCAACTCACACCTTTCAAACGTCTTGCCCTGGACAGTGACGGAAAGGAGCAGAAGCACCAGAAAAAGGAAAGCCTTCATGTTGACTGGGAAGCAGAACCTCTGATGACTGGGGTGTGCCAGCCCCAGTATTTAGTATCTTCTAACTTCCTTATTCTAGTGGTTTGGGGAAAGTCTCTTTGAACTGTATGGAAAACAGAAACTGTTGACTGATCCACTGACATTTTTTTTTTTTTTTAATGTTTGAAGAGAGTTATTCTGATGTCCTAAGAATTAACCTATAGGGAAATAATGAAGTGACAATGTTTAAAGATCTGGCTCAAGATGAAAATAGCGCTATTCCCAAATCAGGAACTATCTTCTATTTTGTTATAAATTTGTGCACCTATAAGAGAACAAAGAAAACAATGAATACTTGTACATTTAAAAATGAGCTGTGTTGGGAACTAGCAGGTGGTGTGGTAGTTAAGGTGCTGGACTCCCACATGGTTGACCATGGTTCAAGTGCCAGACTCAGTGGCTTGAAAATCATGCCGGGCACATGTGTGCATGTTCAAAATCCCAGAGAAGAATGGAGGATTAGGGATTACAGTGTGGCCATCCCATTTGGTAGATTATAAGTGCCTGCCAAAGCACCTGGCTCTGCCCTTGCTTTTTTTTTAATTATTATTTTTTTATTTTATACATTTAATCACTATATATCACTTTGGTTGTAAGTTGAACTTACCCAACATGAATACACTTCACAGCAGGTCAGTTGAGGATACAAAACACATTATCATCAAAAGATAATAACCCACTTGATGTTCCATAAATATACTGCCTCTCTATTTTCCTCCCTAATTTTCTTCCTTACACTCTCCTCCTTCTCACACCCTCCTCCCATATTGTCTCCAGAATCTATAACCATTTTCAAAGCTTTTGTCTTCCGGTCATTCAGTTTCCACAATAGAGTGTTGACAGTCAGTATATGTTAAGTGGAGACATACAGTGTCTCTCTTTCATAGCCTGGCTTGCTTCACTGAAAAGCAAATCTTTCATCTTTGTCAATTTTCTTTTGAATGCCAGGGTCTTGTTTTTTTTTAATGGCTGAGTAGTATTCCATAGACGATATGTACTTAACTTTTTCCATCCATTCATTTGTTCGTGGACATGTGGGTTGGTTCCATGTCTTGGTAATCCTGAATAATGCTGCAATAAACATAGATGTGAAAGCACTTTTCCAACTGAGCATTCTCCTATCCTTTGGGTAGATATCCAGGAGTGAAACTATTGGATCATATGATAGTTCTATTTGTAGGTCTTTGAAGAACTTCCATATTGTTCTCCACAGTTTGCCCTTACACTTCATCCATGGCAGTCTGTTTCTCTTTGGCTTACAAAGATTACTAGTTTTGAGTAAATATTTGTTTGGGGATTCTGTTCCCAAATCAAGAATAACCCCATTCTCCAGGCATATTTTGAGACTGTGAAATTAGCCATGTGAGATCCAGCGCCTTAACCACCATGTCACTTGCTGGCTATGAGACCTAGGACCAATTTTAATTCTTTAATAAATAGGCTGATTTTTGGAACCTAAAAAAGAAGAAAATGATTAAGAGAATTAGGCTTTGTACTTCCTAATACTTTTCCCAAGCCAGTGTTCAAACATATCTGGCCCCATCCATTTAGGAAAGACATAAACCCAGCCCCATCCTCAGATGTATCCCGAACTTCAGCTGTGAAATACTGCTTTCAGGGACTAAAAAATGAAGATTTTCTGCTGGGACTTCTCCCTCCACATTCAATTCTAGTGGGTAGTACTATCTCTTCTCTTCTCCATTTCTCTCTGTCTCTCTGTGTCTCCCTGTGTCTTTTAATTACTCTCTGGGCTCTCAAGCCACTCCTTTATTGTGCTAATTGGTGCTTTTCCACATTCCACTTAGGAAAGGCACAAACCCAGGTCATCCTCAGATGGATCCTAAACTTCAGCTGTGAAATATTGCTTTTTCATGGAGTACAGTTTTAAATTTTTTGCTCTTTAAAATTAAAATCTAAAGTTTTTTATTATCTCTTTTTTCTTTCTTCTTCTTCCCCCTTGTCTAATTCTTTTCCTTTTTCCTTTATCTTTATTCATTGGCTGCTCAGCCTCTATGCACTAAGTGTCTAGACAGGTCCAAGTGAACAGGATCCAAATATCTGAATATGATTAGGGTCAGAATATTCCTCTATTCCCACTGAATATGATGCACAAAGAGTGAAAATGGAACACAAGACAGATTGCAGATCACCTCCACCTGCACGCTTCTGAATGCCCACATTGAACTTCAAGAATGAGCAAGAAACGCACCATCCATCAGATGACTAGAAATCACTGCACGGTCATAAGAAATATGGGAAAACATGAAAATACTTCTTCTTCAAGGGAAAAGGATAACTCCTCTTCATCCTCAGACAGTACGATGAAACTCATGGAAATGTCAGATAAAGAATTTAGAATTTTCATAGTGACAAAGCTAATAGAGATTGAAGAAAAGAGAGACAATGAACTGCCGAAGAGGCAGGAGAAACAAGCTGACGAGTTCTAGAAGGTGAGGAAATTCTTGCAAGATCTAAAAGAGGAAATACACACTATTAAAAAAATCAAATGGATCTATTAAATATGAAGGCTATAATACAGGAAGTCAAAACCTCCTTTGAAAGTATTAAAAATAGACTAGGTCATACAGAAAATCAAATCTCTGATGTAGAAGATAGAATTGCTGGCCTAGAAAAAATCCACCACTAAGACTGAGAAAATTGCCCCCCAAAATGAGAATAACACACGAGAAATACTAGGTACCATCAAACGCCCAAACATCTGGATAATCAGTATCCCAGAAGAGGAAGAGACTAATAAGGGCATTGACAATCTATTCTATGAAATTCTGGAATAGAACTTCCCAAACCTAGAGAGGCATTCAAAGATCCAGTTCCAAGAAATACAAAGGACCCCCAAATAGAATCAACCCAAGATCTTCTCCAAGACACATTATAGCCAGACTGACCAAAACCGCAGAAAAAGACAAGATACTAAGATTGGCAAGAGAGAAACGTAAAGTTACCTACAAAGGATATCCCATCAGGCTTACAACTAACCTCTCATCAGAAACAATGTGAGTGAGGAAAGAATGGGAAAATATATTCAAAGTATTAAGGGAAAAGCAATTTCAACCAAGTATACTGTACCCGGCAAGATTATCCTTCATATGGGAAGAAAAGACAAGAGCATTCTCAGATAAACAAAACCTAAAAGAATTAACCAACACCAGACCAGATCTCCAAGATGTTCTGAATGGAGTGCTAGACCAGGAAAATTAAATACAGTCACACAGAACTAAGAGTTCAAAACTAAGAAAATGGCCAATTTAATTGTAGGAACAAGTCTGGAGTTGAACATTATATACCAGAATTTAATTGGGAAGATCAAACCACAACAGAAAATAGATTAAGTTCATGAGACTGAACTGATGAAATAGAATTTTAGGACTTTTGA